GGTTTAGGATGTAAGAAGTCTTGACAGCGAACATTGATGATTACAAACTTTATGACACACTGGTCTCAAATTCCCTTTCCAGGAGAGATGTTGCCTTTCTGTCCCATCAACCAAACAGAGAATGGTAAAAATATGGAAAATGAAAGATGCAAACAACTGTTGTCACACACCACTTCCTTCCTTCCTGTCTGAATCTACTTGTCAGCAGTTCTGTACAAATTCAGTAAATCTTGCTCTTTCCCCCTGAACCTTTGTGTTCGTCAATGGTATCTTTAGTATCCTTGGTCCACATTCCCATCACTCAACCTGCATTTCTACAGAGTTCCTGAGAATGGCACCAGAGATGACTGAACTGTTAATTAGCAGCTCATACAACTATCCCAAGCAATGACATCCTTTGCAATTACTGTTTTTATCTACACTTTTCTTATAGCAGAGGCAGATGGCAAGAAATCAAGTCAATGTAAGGAGATATCTTTCAGAACACTAGAAGAGGGACATGTCAGGAAATAAAAGGCATGGGCAGTTTCAGGTTTAGAGAGTAACTAAGTAAATGGTTTAACCTGGAGAGTGCTAATAGATCTTGAGAGAGTTGAGCACTGGGATGGTGCTTATTCATTTATATTTAACAAGGCAGAGAATTAGTCTCAGATATTTCAGAATGATTTTATGCAGGAAGCGTTCTCTGCCTTGCATTCTTAGTCAACCTGAATCCTCCCCAACCAAGATCACTTTCTACTTCTTCAACTTTCCCCCAATAGTTTGTACCAGTGTTAATAAAATAAAACAAAACAAAACAAAACAAAATTCCTTCCAAAAATAGAATGCTCTCTAATGTAAACACACACACACACACACACACACACACACACACACACACACCCTGGTATTGCAGGAGGAAGCTTCTGCTGCGTTCTCTGATGTGACAGATCGTAATGATAGTTCTCAGTTCTGAGTTCTGACAGTCAAAAGAAACCTTGGAGCTGGAGGCAGATGTGGAGGGATATAAATCTTATTTAGGTGCTGCCAATGCTATGAATTTTATTAAAGGACATTGACTCATTTTGCACAAAAAGCCTTCCGCTGACTGAGAGTCACTGGGCAAAAGGCTTTGATACCTTTCTGTTCTTTATGGAAGAGAATTGCTGTCAGACCCTGTAGGTTTAATACATTAACTTGAATGGCTATAAAATGTTGTTTTCTCCTCTTCTTAGTACAATGTCAGGCCAGGAAATTAATTTCTTAGGGAGAAATCATTTCAAGTAGTAAGTAGGGTATGCTGGTCCTGGAGGTCTTCGGCTGCCGTAGCCCTGGTCAGGGCGGGGAGGAAAGCTCAACCCGCTCCCCTCCAAGGGACTCTGGGAAGGAACACCCAGGCGCGGGGGCAGAGACTTCTAGCGACATCTTATTGTCTCATTCCTACTTTGGACAAACTTGCAGGCTATCGAATGTAGCCTGCCCACAGGGCAGAGTCTGGCAAACTCCCCGTGGCCTACCAAATATGCCAAATACCAGTAACAATGATGGGTCTCATTCTCCTAAAGAGCCTTGAATATAATCTCAGGGCTAGGATGAAAGAGACGTTACTGGGGCCTGCTCGAGGCAATCGACGATTAACAGGATGATGAAATGAAATGAAATGAAAAAGTAGGGTATGCAGAACTCCTTTGTCTAGAGTTAAATTTGCAAAATCCTACTTGCACATCCTTGGAAGTTTTAAAGATTTTTAGATTGCCCATTTTTAGACTTCATTTTTTAAAAATGTAGTATGACCTCTAGCTGTGCAGTTATGGAAGCAAAATATATTCCTCTCATAAATGATCTGTCCTTTCATTGAAAAACCTAATTATTTTCAGCCAAAGACATAGAATAGTGTTTAGGTGCTCGCCTTGCATGCAACTGACCCTAGTTTGATTCCCAGCACCAAAGATGCAAAGAGCACACCCTGTACACTACTGAGTATGGCTCCCAAATACAAAAACAGATTATTTTCTTAGGTATATTCATCTCTAGGGGGGATTTACATAGTGCACAAGTTTGTACTTTTCCCTCTTGACATTCTCTATGGTGGGGGTGAGGGGGAGGCAGAGGCAGAGAGAGGGAGAGAGAAAGAAAGAGAGAGAAGGAGAGAGAAAAGAGAGAGAGGAGGGAGGGGGAGGGAGGGAAAGAGAATTCTTGACTACTAAGAGCTTTTTGATCTTATCAAAGAACCACAGAATAGTCTTGGCTATTTTAGTGTGATTTTAGATTGAAAGAAAATTCTATCTTGCAATTGTAGAAGGCTCTCTTGAAAAACTAAGAAGGTTCATGGAAAAATGTGACCTATAGTTTGAAACCATCAATTGTTGCACTGCAGTTCTCTAGAAATAAGGTGACTGGGAATTTTAGTGTGTAGAAGAGAGTTCATAGAGAAGGTGACCATGATCTGGGCCTGAAACAAGTATTAAAGTGGGCATGTCCTGAAACTGCCTCTCCCAGAGTGCGTGACATCAGTGAGAAGGCCTGGCAGGGAATGTGTGCCCAAGCAGGAAGGCTAAGATGGGCCGGCAAATTCACCCAGCCTGAAGAGTGCCTTTCAAAAGAGGAAACTGAAAAGGAAGTCACTGAGCTGAATGAGACACACATGATTTATTGGATCATTGGTAATATCCACTGCCTGAGGGGCCTCTAGATTCTCAAAAATAACAAGGAAGCCCCTTGAAGAGAATAGGAACAAATATTCAGGGATATATCTGACTGGCCCACAGGTGCTAAATCTAAGCCTAGAGGAATCCATTAAAAAGGCATAAAAGGAACAGAACTCCAGGTGCTAGCACCCACAAATCCTCTGAGAAATGAATTCTGCATGGGATCAAAGATGTCAATTCCTTGTAGCCCTCAGAGCAAATATATGGTTTTCAATATTTGTGTGAATCCAGCCATCACACAGAGGATTATTATCTTAAAGTGCCCCAGTTCTGTTTCATTTGCATAAATCTTTGTATATAAATATAGGTATTAACATATATTTATATATAGACATAAGCACACACAATGGTGTGAATTCAGTTCTCGTTAAGCTCATGGAAAGAAGTGGATTTCTGCATTTAACAAAAAAGAACAAGGGGGGAGAGAGAGAGAAGCAGACCCTCTCAGAATGGGCACTCGGTGCTGTTTTACAAGTGTGTGTATATTAGTGTGCAAGTGTTTAAGGCACACTGGGGAACAAGCAAGAAGGCACGTGTACTGGATGCTTGGGTACCAAATTTAGAGGCAGGGTATTGGACTATCGTCTGTTTTCTCTGTGACACTTTACAATGAACCATGCATGCATTGTATCCAAGAAACCTTTCTCCCCCAGTCACAATGGAGCAGAGAAAAATAATAATACTTGAAAGAAGAAGTCACAGATTCCCCTTGGCTATATGCCCAAATTCTCAGACATTGAGTAGCCAGAGCCAACTAAGCTGCTTTCTTTAGTAGATAGTTCAGCTCTGTTTGGCTTCAGAGTATGTTTTACTCCACTGGATCCAAGGTCATCAGAATCTCTTCCAAGGCTCAGTAAGTAATCACTTGAGCTGACGTGTTCCTTGGACATGCCTATGCATCTGCAGTCTTGGTGAATCACTTGGTGAGTCATTTGACCCTTCACTGTGGGCTGAGAAAGCACCAAGAAGATGAGTCTGGGCAGTCACGGTTCTTAGTACAGCACGACTCACTGTGCAGAATTGTGAATTTAGACAGATGCTCTGGTGGAAGATTGGTGTGTGAGTGGGTTTAGAGATCACAAATAAAGGATATGTCCCCAGTGATATTTTTCAAATTTGTTAATCAAGTTCCCATGGGAACCAGAATTCTAGAGAAACAGCAATTTCTGTGCTGCTGCAGTAGGACATTTCTAGAGGCATAGAGGTTCCATGGTGGTGAAAAAGTCATTGAAGAGGGCTTGACACTTGGACTATGAAGCAAACAAAGGAATATAAGACATAAGTGGAAAATGAAATTTTGGGGGATATGGGGAAGTGAAACATTAGAATCTGCTACTGTGTGTTTGCCTTGGGCAGATATTGAAGCAGAGTAACTAATGAACTTGTAATCTTACTATGTGCCCCTCAGTGGAAGGGTCAGATTAACTTTATATATTAAAAGAATTGTGTACGCATTCAACAAATGATGCATTAAATACAATTGGATCACAATAAGAGCCTAGTTCATGATCATAATAAGAGCTTAGTTTGTATTATTATTATAGCCTAATTTTTTTCGGGTTGTTATAAAGACCAGCAGTGGCTTCTCATGTATGCAAGATCAATAGTAATCTCCTGAGCTTGCTTTCAAAACCTTTTTCATTTCCCTCAACATTTCCATCTAGACTTACTTAGGTAAGCCAAACCATCCTTTACTGTCCTGGCATACCTCACCCTTTGACTCCTGTTGTTCCCTCTGTGAGTAATGCCTGCCCCATTTTTTGTCATTTGGAATGCTGTCATTTATTTGTATCCCAATTTAATCTCTCTGATATCTGTGAGGCAATTCTGACTGACTCTTGAATCTCTTTCCCCTGCTTTTGTGTGTCACTTGTTGCCTTGTTCATTTTTCATTACTTTAGTCCAGTTCATAGTATACTGTCCATTCTTTGAGAGTGAGGTCTGGATTTTGCACTTCTTTATAAATCACACTGTGATCTGCGTATTTGAGGTCAAGTGCTACAGCTGATTTTGTGCCCAGGAAGAAGAGAGTGTGAATCTCAGTTCATCTTAATATTTAATAGGCATTTGAGTTCTGTCAACGTTCATAATATCCCTGAACCTTAGTTTGCTAATGGCAATATGCAAATATTAAAATCTGCTGTAAAGAATGTTTATGAGATATATAAATATTATGTGTGATGACATTTACCTGAGATATGGCAGGTATTCAAAATTGTACGTTTTATTATCACTGATCTTCTGAATTGATGTTTTGTGCATGGATTTGAGTACCACAGAGCAATGGTTTTGAGTAATTTCTCTTCTCTACAGTTGTACAGCTCTGCTGAATTTGGGAGAAGGTGGCAGCTGATCCAGGAAGGGGTTGTTCCAAACAGGTTCTACTGGTAAGTCTATATATTATAGCATACAAAAATGTCACTGACTCTCTGAGAGTTGATATTCAAAAGAGATAAAGAACTCATTCACATTAGTAACACAAAGCATGCCACTCAATCAAAATATGAGCAGGAGACCTGAAGAGACACTTCTTTAAAGCAGACACTTCTCTAAAGAAAACCAATGAGTCATGCCCATAGACTCATGGGGAAACTTGCCCAACATAACTTTATTATTAGATAATGCAAATAAAAAAACATGATGATATTGCCTCAGAACAGTAAGAGTGACCTATAGCTACAGGATTGGAAGCAAAAAAAATTGGCAAGGATGTGGAGATAAAGAAACTCTGGCTCACTGTTAATGGTAATATAAAGCGAAATAGCCAGCATGGAAAATTGTCTGGAGATTTTTTATTTTTTTAAGTAAAAACCCCATAAGACCTAAAGACTACAACTCTTGGGCACTTATCCAATGAATATAAAACACTAATTTGAAATGGTATTTGTTTCCCTGTGCTTATAGCACTATAAATTACAATAGCCAAAATATGGAATCAACCCAAATGGCCTCAATAGATAACTAGCTAAAGAGGCTGTGATATATACACATCACAAAGACTATTTAGATATTAAAATAGATGAAAATGTACCTTTGGGATGAAATTGAGAGACTTTCTTTGAGGTGATTATCCTAAGTGAAATAAAATTGAATGACAATTACCAGATAGTTTCACTCATATATAAAGTATGAGTAAAAAAATAAGCTGACAGAAAATTTAAATCAATGAAATTAGCTCCTGACAGTGAAACATAAGCTGGTGATCAGAGTAATCAAGAGTTGCATGGGGTCAGAGTATGGTATTGGGAGAAATCTAAGAAGAGATCATTTGGGATGGCCTTTTAGAACTTCACAGGTGGTTATGATAGTCTTGTGCACATTTAAAGTTATAAAGCAGTAACTGTGAAATTTTATACATTTGGTAACCAAAGATAAATTAACTTTGAAAAAAGGAGAAGTCAAATGATAGTTTTCAAGTAACCTAAAATCTAGTCAGGGAAGCCCAGTTACTTCATTCTTCCTTCTTTTTATCTTTATGTTTCTTTATATAATTTGATGTCCTTTATCTATTTATATATCTTATTGTTACTGAGGAAACATGGTTATAATAATGTTCACGTTTATGCATTTGATAGTGCATTCTACAACCACCAAAGCACCAAAGACTTTTTTGTTCTTTTGAAAATTGTATTTATTTATTAATTAATTTTTTTTTTTTGGTCCTTCTAAATGGTCTTCAGGAGTCCTGAAAATCCATTCCTGAAAATCCTCAGCCAATTATGCCAAATAATAAAATGCAAGGACTGGAAGATGCTGCAGTTTTGCTCAGGTCCAGCGGTGCCGTGAACCATCCAGGCTACACTGGAAGTGCTCTGGGCCATGAGGGGCTTCCAAGTCCACACCTAACCATGATCTGGGGCCTCCAGAGTCACATCTGATTATCATTGAGGAACCATGTGGTGCTGGGGATTGAACCTGAGTAGAATGAAATAAGGCATATGCTTTACACCTATGCTCTCATTTTGGTTTCCATAAATTCTTATGGTTCCAGAAATAATCCTATTTGCTTTACTGCTCCACCTTCTGAATCTGCAGGGACAGTTGTGCTGCTTTTGTAGCTTTACCATATTCCAGTCATCCTTACCCTCAGGGTTCTTACTGTGTCTCCAGGGCATATGGGAACCAAGCATAAGTGCATTTCCTGTCACCTCTCCACGTCTACCTTCATTCAAGAGGCATCCCTTATGATACCTCAACTTTCTGGGTCATTTTTCCTTTATCTTCAAGAACAGAGCAGATTTGTAGCTAAAAAGCTCTATAGAATAGTCTAATTGAATCTAACAAATCTGACTTTCTCCCTTCATTCTGTCCTGTGTCTATTCTTTCAATTTGAACTGGCAGTGTTGCTGCTGTGATGGCTGATTATGTCCATGGTTTCACAGCTATAATGATATCCTCAATTTTTTTCTTCTCAGACACACCCTTAGAGTTCTTTCCAGAATAAGCCTTCTTACATTTTGGACCACAGATAGTCTGAAGATTTTCCAAATCTTTAAGTTCTGACTCCAGTTTACTTAACAGTTCCTCAATGTATTTCTCTCTTCTCAATTTGTACCATAAAAAGATAGGAGGAACAAGGCTCTTCCGTGAACATCTTGCTTACAGATCTCCTTGATTATTATATCCAATTTCATCTCTCCTAAATTCTCTCTTCCACAGAATGTTAGAATGCAGATTAACCAATCTTTCTTACTTTGGCAAAGGGACAGCATTGTCTCCACTGACCAAAGACCTGCCCCTTATATGTCTATGTTTCTACCAGCGTACTTGTTCATGATCACTTGTTCATGATCACCATTCTAAATGGGTATTGATGATTATTTAATATTCTTAGATATTTAAATATTTAATTTAATATTAACTATATCTTTATATAATTTATATAAATTTATGTAAACACATAAATAAGTTAGATATTTAAATATTGTTAGAGGCTGATTTCTCTCAGGTTTCTGTCATGAGTTCCATTCCAACAGAATCGGCCTAAACATCTTTATTATAAACATAGACCACAAAACCCTCTAACAACTACCCTTCCCAAGTTCCAAAGATTTTTCCTTATTTGTGGTAATTTGGTGCAGTGATATTCTACTTCTAAAGTAGCACAAGTTATTCTATTAGGCTTGGATTTCAATAACAAGCTGCTCCAGCCTTGGTGACTTATAAAGGAGATATTTATTTCCCACAGATCTGTTGACTTGACCAAACATTCAAGAACAGGGTGACAATAGAACCAGTCCCTAGTAAGTGCTTATATCCCATGTTGTAGAACACTACTTCCTAATAGTGTCTTCCCAGGGAGAAGAGACCCAACTCTGATCTGGGCCTCTTCTCAAGGAAAACAAATCCTATTCCCAGGCAACTACTCTTACAGTTTCATTCCAACCTTATTGTCTCACAAAGATCCAAGTCCCAGTACTATCACTCTTGAGGTTAGGACTTCCACATACGAATATGAGGAGACACATAGTGGAACATATGAATAGTGGGACATTCAGTCCATAGACTTGAGTTTACATAATTGTTAGCTTATACATGCTATTTTATTTATTTATTCATTTATTAGGGTGAGGATGCAGTTAATAAGACATGCCATTATTTGGGGGTGGGGGCAGGGAAAGTATAATTTTTGTTTGCTTTGTCTTAGTTTTTTTGGGGGGGACTGCTTCTGGAAGTCATGCACATCACTGAGGCAGTGACCTATTAGTAACCTGTGGACTTCCTTTAGCAAAGATAGTGAAAGGCATCTTACCTTCTCTCCTAGTAAAATCACTCTTCTTCTATTAGCCATTAGACGTAATATGCAGAAATTCTTCTCTAAAGTGCTTAAAACTCCCTAGCCCTAACCCAGGTTTTTGATTTCTAAGAGAAATGTAGTTTTATCTTACTTAGTTTCAAACACAGTCCTAAAACCCACATGTGAGTTGAAAGCCGAAGAACTGCATTAGAGAGATCTCTTAAAAACATTAGTGAAACTGCCTGGAAAAGTGAAAGACAGGTCATTTGCAAACAAACTGTCTCAGTATCACATAGTGACTTCCTTAAGGAGTGATAACCTTTACCCTCTATCATAAAGAAACTAGCACTGTAGCACTGTCCTCCCATTGTTCTTCAATTTGCTCCAGCGGGTCCAGTAATGTATTCATCATGAGACTTGTTGTTACTGTGTTTGGCATATTGAGTATGTCATGGGAAGCTTGCCAGACTTTGCCTTGCAGGTGAGATATTTTCGGTAGCTTGCAGAGCTCTCCAAGAGGGATGGAGGAATTGAACTCCAGTCGGCCTCGTGGGCCATGTGCGAGGCAAATGTCCTACCCTCTGTGCTATTGCTCCAGCTCAGCTATTGCTCCAGCCCATTTTTTGGTAATTTCTAACTAAAGATTCTTGCTGCCCAGACACTTGCTCCTCCACCCATTTCCCACTCACTGCTCCTCTTCAGTAGTGACTCTAACCTTGTTTTCAAAATCTGGATGCATCTCTCTTCTTGGGAAATTCATCTTGCTGTCACCTTTTTACATGTCAGTGTTTCTTCTCTCTCTTTTTCCCTTTGTTGTTTCCAGTTCATGGCACATCTGCACATCAATGTTTGTCTATAAATTATGAAGCACTCTTCTTATTTGGGACTAAACCCAGCAGTATCCTGGGGCTAGCTTCACTTCAGTGCTGGGATTTACTCCTTCCAGGGTTCTGGGGACCAGGGGATGTTGTGGTTCAAATCCACAGAGCATTCCAGTTGGTTCAGCCATCTCCCCAGTCCCTTAAGTACTATTTAGGAAGAAAGGATCATGTTTGTTTGTTTTTCCCATCCACTGTTTGCTGTTGTATGTGCATAAAATGACCTGAGAAAGTAAATGCATAAAGGAGGAGCACAGCAATAGGAGATGAATGGATCCCATCTTTTCTCTGGTTGGTGCTAATTGCAATCAATTCTTATACTCTGAATGGTGGTCTTTTCTCTGAAAGCCTGATTAGTAAAGCCCTTGTAATCAAATGATGTGTATTTTCATCTTTATAAAAACTTTACACATGGTTGTGTATGAATTCTAATTAGTGTTTCTGTTAAGTAAAATAAATATATATTCCCTCCCTCTGCCTTTGAGAGCAGAGAGAAATCATCTTCATCCAGGCTCTCATATTCTGATAAACATTATTCATATTTATTTAATCTTTATCTTATTAAATACAAGTTTCATTATCATCATTACAGACAAGGACCTACAAGATGATGAGGTTAAGGAATTGGGCCAAGGTCATGTGGTGGGAAGCTGGTACTGCCAGATTTCAAGTGCAGGTAGCTTGGCCCCCAAGATCATGTTCTTTCTAGGCAGGGGCTCTGAATCCTAGAAATCCATGCTGTTTGGTGAGTGAGTCGAAAAAAAGCTGGAGC